ATCATCTCAGTAAGTTCTACGGACATCTGACTTACAACTTATGGACACCTTAACTTGTCTGTTAACAGCGTATAAAATTACCCTCACTTTGAAGTAACTAAACAAGCCTTCCTCAGAACAAACTCTTCATCACAGTCACCTTTAATTGCTGTTTCTGCAGTTTTTAAATCGTTGAAAAATCTTCAATCCTTTCCTTGCACTGACATGAGGCTGAATAAGAACCTTACGTACCTGTTCTGACTTCCCTACAAATTGAACTTAAAGACGCACTTAGGAACAGATCTCACTTGTAGCCTGGTGACTGCCTGTCATAGTTATGGCCCAACCCACCCCGACTTTGCCTGAATGTCTGAAGACTTGGGAATCTCTCTGTGGCACCTACTTCAGCAGCACATCATTTGCCTGCCTCCTTTGGCTCTCATCCTCTCATCCTCATCCCTGCTTCCTGCATCCCTTCCACTGGTTTACACACACCTTATTTTTGTCTTCTTTCCACCTTCAAGAGCTGTGGTGTGTTTACCTTTCTTCAAACACACCGTCTTCCACCTGCCTGTATGTACATAGTATCTAATGTGGTGCTTTGAACAATATAGTTGTTATTGTTAAGTGCTGTGGTTTCTGACTCATGGGAACCTTGTATAGGGTTTCCAAGAAACAGCTGGTATGTTCGAACCACCAACCTTGTTCAAACCCACCTTAGAGTACAGTGCTTTATCCCACAGTGCCATGCCAGGGCTCCTGAACAATATAGGATATATATATTAAACAGGTGGAATGACTATATATATATATAGTATAAACAGGTGCAGTGACAATTCCTAACAAGTGATTAGAAAGATGTGCTGGAGGTAGAGGGCATTCTCTAAGGGCTAGAAGCAAGAGAACAAAAGAGAGAGAGAGAGAGAAGGTGAAAATCAGGTGTTCAAGGAAGGCTGGCACTTCAGGGGCTGAAGAAGGAAGAGATGCTGGTAGTGAGGCAGAGAAGACGGTACCAGAGGCAGGCAGTGTTCGCTCCAGAACTCATTCACTTCCCCAAATCCATGTGCACAGCCTCCAAGCCCCTCGCAGATAGTGACAAGAATTATTGCAGGTGAATTCACAAGCTTGGGCACCAGCTACATAAAAGCACAAAAGAAATCCAAAATATTATTATGTGATGAATAAACATGCAAGACCCATAAACGAAAAGTTGAAATGGCATGAAAATAAAGGGTCTGGTGAGGAAAGAAATGAAAACCGTTCTCTCTAGGCCAGCTGGTTTGTGTTACATTTTATGAGCAGCTTGTGAGTTCCAGCGCCCTTGTTGAATTAGCAGCAGACGCACATTAGTTTTAAGGCTCCCTCTCGAATAGGAACATCATAACGTTTTTTAATTGGGGCTGATAAAAACGTAGCATTACTTGTAGGTTCCTGAGAGAAGCGAGTTGTGAAATTGGGTTTTCATTAAACCTAATGATGGAAAATTAAGTATAGTGCGTCTGGTGAAATGGGGTGTGATTAAAGGCATCACTTCTGCATTATCGGAGGTTAATAAGGGAATAGGTGAGGTAGGATACATCGGAAAGGGGAGTACGACTACTTGAATTAACAAACCTTGAAAATGCCTCTGTCCTGAGTCTTCATAGCATCATTAGCACTGGCATTGACATCATTACAAATGTTACAACAACACAAGTTGTTCAATTGCAAATGCAGTTATTTTCCATCTCAGTGTTGGTTTTGCTGACACCAAGTTTACAGTCTGTCTAGCAATGTGTTTAGGGAAAATATCCATATTGATAGCTATTTGGTTTTGAAAACATTTCGCATCTCACAAAAATTATAAAGTGCCTGCTCCTAAGAAGCCTGGCTTTACCAGGCAGCCTGTCTCCTAGGCAGGCTCTGCCCAAGGACCTTTGGAAGGCCACGGGGCTCTGAAGATGTCCATCCCAGATGTGATGTTGTTTCAATGGGAAACACACCCAGGCCAATGTGTCTGGCTCATTCTCTCCTTGGACTCAGGTCATGTCATGTAGACTCGGTGCAAACCTATGGGATCTTTTCTCCTCCACCGCAACCCACCACACCATCACAGGAGAGGTCTTCACCAGAAGGGCACTACATAATCAGCTCAGCTTAGATACCTGTTAAGAAATAGTGTAAATTTTTAAAAGAAAGGGACTCTTCATCAAATCTTTCTTAACAGTTTTACTTAACAGTCTGGCCTTAAGTTTTTTACACTTTCATAATCTTTCTGGATCTGCCTCACAGCGTATCTTAGAACTTTACTTCCATTGCATTTCTACCCACAGCCTTTGCTCCATATGAGTAGCTCCTGTCCTCTCAAGTTTCTGTTCTTTTGCTTCAGATGGTCATTCTTGTCTGTTTTCCTTACTAGACTATCAAGCCATGAGAGTAGAATCTGGACTTTTCTCTGCCTTGTCAGTACCTCCCAGGGTTCCAGGCACATTAATTAATTTCTGGTGCTCAGTAATTCTAACGCATGATCATATGGAGTGAAAGAGAAAGGAAGCAGCCCCCACATTAGTCACATGTTACATTTAAGCAACTCTAGTGAACATGTGTCTACTTGTCAACTAAATTTTCAACTAAAAACTAAGTAGTGTTTTTCTTATGTGCAACTAGGAAGAAAACATCTTCTCTAGACCCTGTAACCTTGGATACACATCTAAATCCCCCAGGAAGTTTGGGGCTGATTAAGCTGATCCTAAAAGGCCAGCCCCTTTTCTGACCACACTAAATCAATAAGTATCAGAGACAACACTTTATGTATAATGAACCCCACCCACTAGTAAGGTGTGACCCAACCCATGTCTCAACTTTGAGCCAATCAGATAGGTAATTCCATGGAGGAGCTGATAGACTAGGACAGGCAGAGGGTGGAAAAATAAGCAAATTCCCCATTCCATAGACACAGGTAGAAAACATCAGAGTCACCAACTGTCCCGACGTTTCTAGGATTTGACACAGTTCCCAAAATGCCATACTTGCAGTGTTAAAACCAGGAAAGTACCAGGGAAACTGGAATGAATTGGTAGCCCTACAAACACACAGCCCAGACATTACCTTCCAGTGTCTTTTTCTTTACATCCCTGCATGGTACAAATGGCTAAGCTCTCAGTTGCTTACCAAAAGGTTAGAGGTTCAAGTTCACCCAGAGGGCCCTTGAAAGAAAGGTGTGATGGTCTACTACCCCAAGGTCAACCATTGAAAACCCTCGGGAGCACAGTTCTACTCTGACCCACAGGGGATCACCAGGAACCGTCATCAACTCAGTGCTAACTGGATCCCTTCTCTACTAGAAACAATCTTGCTGTCTGCTGTCACATAGCATTAGAGTTTGCTTTCACGTATAGACTATACCTCTGTGTCTGTTAGCTTACTGTGACAAGAGACACAAACAAGCTAAAGGGAATGTGGATTTCAAAAGACACTACAGAAAATGAGAAATGTGTGCTAAGCTTCCCAGGAAATGAGTATGGCACAGGTCTTGTAGAAAGCTTCTGGATGAGACTCTTCAATATGGTGGTTCTTACCTACTGCATGGCCCAGACATGATGGCTCAGGGCATAGATTCCTTGTGCCTTTGAGAAGAGGTTGGGGGGGAATCAAGCCTAGATGGCTCTGGGGCATGGAGTTGGTAGGTCAAGAAATCGGTTTTACTTGTCCAAGGGGAACTAAGGAATTCAAACCCAATCTGAGCAGACATCAGTTTATAAGGTAGCCAAAGTAAGAGAGGGCAGTTAGAACAACTCACTGATACCAACAATTCTCATCAGGGGAGAGTAAAGCCTATAGCAAGAAGAGATTCTATGAAGGGGAGAAAGCATAGCATCCAGACCTGGAGGAAGTATCTGGCAGGACAAAGATGAGAGTTTCAGGTTTCCCTACCTGCAAAGTCACTATTAGTCGTGACTGACTTGACAGCACTTAACAGTAACAAGAAGTGAGTTCAGAGTGATGTTCCTTGACCAACAGTGTTAAGTGGTGGAGACATTTGAGAACTGGCAGAATGCAGTCACTATTGCAGAGTCAGTGTTGGATTACCTAGGAAGAAAGGTAGGCACAGGCTTACTTGCACTTACTTACTAATCTGTAGTGAATAATGTCACTTCCCCCACCCCCACCCCCCACCACCACCACACCACATCTACGTACGGCTGGCTTCTGTCTGTCTTCTAACCCCACAGTACCATTCTATAGAATCAAATCCTCTTTTCAAATTTATAATCCCTGACATGAATGAAGTATGCAGTAAGCAAGGTAAGCACAGTATTACTTGTACTTACTTACTGGGATGTGGTCATTGATCATGACTGATTGGTAAGTAAGCATCAGTAAGCCCATCCTTACCTTACTAACTAAGTAACCTGCCCCTGTGTAGAGCCAGGAGCTGGAAAAAACAGCGGAGAGAATCAAGGTCCCTGCTAACTACTACCTGGAGGTCCAAGGCTGGCTTCAATTCCTCTCACTGTACAACCCAAAGGGGAAGAAAGCAGGTCACAGGGACGTAGGCAATTGGACCAGGCACAGAAGTTTGGCTGTCATCTCTGCCGTCCTGGGGTTCTCCTTGCCTATAGGCAGCAGGCAGGAAAGACGATTTCCAGAGACTTTACTTCCAAGACAGGAGGGTTCTCCCATAATCTAGTCTGCCTGGCTTCTTCCTGGTCAGATCAACCAAGATGATTCCAACAAGCCTGGAGGGAGGACTGAGACAGGCAGGGGATGTCAGACAACCTTGGAACTTTGTCTCCGCTCCATCAGTGCACACCCTTGAAATAGAAATGAACCAAAGATTATTTTGTTCGTTGATTGGTTTTGTTGTTAAATCTACCAGCACAGCCATGCCAAGGGAGCAGTGTGTGTCTCTCTCTAGTCTTGTGGTTTCCTGAATCAGTTGAGATCTCAGTTAATTCCCTCCACCATTCTCAGACCAAGCTGGGGAAGGCAAAGGAAAAAACCCATAGGTGATGGCATGTTCTACTTCCTTCTCTTTGAAGCAGATGGCAGCCGTGGGGAGCTGTCCCAGCCCACCCTCACCATCCAGACTCACCCTTACCGGACGTGTGACCCCGTGGAGTTGAGCTACCCTCGGGACCAGTTCCAGCCTGCCATCCGGGTGGCTGATCTGCTGCAGCACATCACCCAGATGAAGAGAGGCCAGGGCTACGGGTTCAAGGAGGAATATGAGGTAAGAGAACAGTTAGTGGGAAATTTTCCTGGTTGGTTCAGAGGCTTATTTGTGTACTCAATAGCCTTGCTACTCCAGACATGGTTCTGAGGCCAGCAACATCAGCATCACTGGGTACTTGTGTGAGATGCCCCATCTCAGGCCCCATCCCAGATGTATCAAATCAACACACATTTCACCAGGAAGTTTCGTTGATTTGCATACAGAAAGTATTTAAGAAGCAGCATGCTACAAGTTGAATACTTCCTTTCCTTTCCCTCCTTTCATAGCCTAGTGGTCCCCCAGACTTTCTACCCATGTGGAGTCACATTTCCCTTCAATATCAAAATCAAGATTGAATGGCCTTCATACTGTAAAAAATCCTTCAAATCTTTTCTGCCAATGGTTTCTGGAGGGCTTCTTTCTTGTTCTCACCTCTTACCCCATATGCAAGCTTCCATTGGGCTCTCCATCCTCCAACTCCCTACCTTATCTTCAGTGACTGCTGACGACTTTCTCTGCACCATCTCCTCATTCCTACTTGGGACATTTTTTCCTCTTCTCCCCAAAGCATCTCCGTGTAAAGCATGTGCGCTACTGGTCATTTCAGAGATTCTAAATTAACCAAGGGAGACTGCAGCCCAAGTTCTGGACATGCCTGAATACAGCGCTGTGATTATCACAAGCTCTTTAATCATTTACATTGCTGGAAAGGCCTCCAAAGGTCCTGCCCCCCTTGGCAGCTCTCTCTACTTCCCTCACCCAAACTTGTCCTTGTATCCTCAAAACTTCCTCCTTCTCTTCCAGCAAGAAATGACTCCCAACTGCTGCTGTCTTTCTTTCTTTCTTTTTGTTTTTAAAGTTTTTATTATGAATTGGGAACATCAGTTTGTTTCATTGCAATGATTACAATCCCCTCCCTGCATGCTTCATCATTCAACAGTATTGCTTCTATTCACTCTGATTTTGGTTTGGGTTTGTTTGTTTGTTTGTTTGTTTTTTGGATATGCACAAAAACACTCAGGAATATATAATTGAAACAGCCAAAGGGCACACCCTGCCCCCTGGCCACCAGCACACATCCCCTCTCCCTCCGTGAGTCTAGAATCCTCAGCTGCTCCGTCTCTCCATGTCATCATATCTGCCTACATCTCTGGCATTGCCGCTTCTCTGAGTAGGGTCACACACTCTGCTCCCACTTTCTCTCTTGATGGTCCCAGAGTCCTCTGCTCTGGAACTGTCAGATCAACCACTCACCCCTTTTTGCTGCTGGCTTTCTTACATAGAACAATTTCACTGTCTTTGTCTCACTCCTTTGCTTCAGACCTTGCCTAATAGGTCTCACCTTTTATAGACATAAAAAGTAAAATGAAACAGAAGGAAAAACTTATTAAGATATTTTCATCAACCAAAGAACCACTCACTTCCCAGGAGGGATTTGTTGCCTTCCTCTGTGGGTCTCCATTCAGATGCAGCAAGCTGTTAAAACAAACATTTCTTTCTTCCCCTTTCACCCCTCCCTCCTTCCAGAAATATCTTTAGAGTAAGTATCTCCTATGTGTTAAGCTCTGAGTTCAGTGTACTAGGTTTCGGAGTTTCTTTTTTCCACACATTGGAACCAAACAGTGCCATGCTTGGTTCCATTTCATCACATGCAGTGAACTCATGAACTCAGATGCATACATTTGGAAAGCCTGACAACAGAGACTCCATTTATCTTTCAGACTACTTCTGTTCTGAGAAAGATCGTACCATGCCAGATAGTAGAAGTCTTAGGAGGTCATGAAAATTGTTCTAACTTGAGAGTTCAGACAACTGGATAGCAATATAGTAAGCTGCATGCGTGAGCTTAGATTTGAGGTTTAAAATTCATTAGTTGATTGAAGACTATGGATAAGGTGAGTTCTAAGGGCCGGTCTTGGTGTGGTGCTGCAGGTTAATGTGCTGGACTTCAAGGTCAGTTTGAACTGCAAGGTTGGTGGTTCAAGTTCACCACCCACTCCTTGGAAAACCTATACAGGGTCACTATGAGTTGAAACTGTTTTGACAGCACTTAACAACAACTAGGGTTTGTCTGATCCTAAGATTTTATTGTAGTGTAAAACATGTGGCAAAGGACATATCTGACACATTTACGAGAACAAAATGTTTATGAGGCAAAGCTTGTGAGTAATTACTAGCTCAGGCAAACCAGCAGTTCATTTCAAATATGGCCTAAGGGAATGAGCATTTTTCATGTACTTGGTCTGCAAATCTTGAAAGTGCACTGGGATAAAGGTAAAAGGAGATCATAGGATGCTTGAGATGATCTTGTCACCTCCCGTCTCTAGATCTAATTTCCTCTATCAATAAGACCCTGGGGTTGAATGGTTGTTGTTGTTGTTAGGTGTCATAGCGACCCTTTGCACAGCAGAACAAAACACACTACCTGATCCTGGGCCAACCTCACTACTGTTGCCACGCTTGAGTCCATCGATGCTGCCACTTGGCCAATCCATCTCATTGGGATTCTTCCTGATTTTCTTTGACCCTCCACCTTACCAAACATGATATCCTTCTCCAGCGACTGGTCCCTCCTGACAATATGTACAAAGTATGAGAGACGAAGCTTAGCCATCCTGGCCTCCAAGGAGCACTCTGGCTGCACTTCTTCCAAAACAGATCTATTGGTTCTTTTGGCAGCCCATGGCACTTTCAATATTCTCCTCCAACACCATAACTCAAAAGCATCAATTCTTCTAGGGTCTTCCTTATTCACTGTCCAGCTTTTGCATGCATATGAGATTATTGAAAACACCATAGCTTGGATCAGGTGCACCTTAGTCCTCAAGCTGACATCTTTGCTCTTCAACACTTTAAAAAGGTCTTGTGCAGCAGATGTGCTTAATGCAATACGTCAAATGGTACTGGCCCTTTAAAGACTGCCTGCTGTAGTTACATATGTGTACTCTGGTTGACACACACTTGCAGGTCTTTTGGGTGATGTGTGATCCAGAGAGTATGTGTTGTTAAGAGTGAAAGGTATTTTCAATGTCGTGATGGTTTAGTTTAATAAGGCTTTAGTCATGATAATTCAAATGTTTGAAAATTTCCAATAGCATTAAGGGAGAGCTCAATGACTTATCAGAAAGCGAGAGGAGTGATCCAAGGCTGAGAAACACTTTCAAGGAACTTGCTATCTCAAATTTCAAAGTGTAAATCCAGATACATTCGACTCTTTGGGAGCATTTCCTTCTAGTCTGTTTTGATGGATAACACTTTTTAAAATGTTCATTCCTGTGCAGTGGGATTTAGGTTGTGTTTCTATTTCTTCTTTATACCTGTTTTTTTTTCCTCCCTAAACTCTCTAGCATGGAAATGATTTGCTTTTTATAGAACAAGAAAGAAAACAACACGTGTTACTCCAGCATTTGAACTCCACCAGAAATATCTCTAAAGCAGGCTAGCCTTGCCCTCAATTAGTTCAAATTATATTAATCAGTTGGCTGGAATACTTAGCTCATAGTTAACAGCATTTTCTGATTAACTGAGGGTTAATTGGAAAACATTGCCTAATGAAAGTCTTTCTGTAATGTGCCAGGAGCCCTTCCTAGAAGATAGCTGGCTATTGCATTAATCATCAGGGCTCCTGGGAAGTCTAGAATTTTCATCCTGAGCATAAGGGCCGCTTATCTCCTTGGAGTCTCAGTGTCATGTTGTAGAGGTAAGACTCTGAGCCTCCAGACCTCTTTTCACCCCTGTATGCTATGTGTTCTTTTCATTGCTCCTCATGCTTGTATCTTGCTCAGTTTTGCCATACGAATGAATGGGTTTGACAAGGTAGCGTTTAAGGGACCTCTCAACTACAGCAAGCTGTGCCTTCTAAATTTTAATTCAGTCTTACAATCACTTACTCATTGGTTTAGTAAATATTTCCTGAGTGTTGACTATTAATTACCAAGGACTGTATTCTAGACAATTTGGGATACAAAACAAAACATCGATCCCAGTCCTCAGGAAGCTCATTTTCTAACAAGGGAAACTGGAAAGAAGCCATCAACTTAAAGATAAGTAGCCCATATAAAAGAGTATGTCAAATAATGAAAAGTGCTGTTTGCTGTATGTCTTAGTTGTCTAGTGTTGCAATAACAGAACTACCACAAATGGGTGGTTTGACCAAGTAACAATTTATATTCTCACAGCTCGGGAGGCTAAAAGTGTGAATTCAGGGCACTGGCTGTAGGAGAAGGTTCCCTCGCTCGCTGGATCTAGTGGAAGGTCCTATTTTCTCGGCCATTCTGTTTCTTGGTTCCTTGGAGACCTCATGTGGCATGGAATCTATCTTTCTCCATCTGTGCTTTTTTCACTGCATGTTTAATATGCTCTTTTATATCTCAAAAGTCATTGCCTTAAAACACAGCCTACACCCACACTGCCCCATTAATCTAACAAAGAAAACCCAATCCCCAAGTGGAATTGTAGCTACAACACAGAGTTTTTGAGAGCACGCTTCAATCCATAACTAGGTATTACAAAGTACTCAAATCTTAGTGACACGAAACAACCAATCTACTGTGCTCTTTAACTCTGCAGGGCAGGAATTTGGACAGAGCACAGAAGGGACAGTTGGTCTTTGCTTCAATATCCAGGGCCTTATTGGGAAGACTCAGTCATCTGAAGGCATCTTCACTCACATGACTAGTGATGAATGTAGGTTTTCACGTGTGTCTCACCTGGATTTGTCTGCTAGAACACCTACATGTAGCTTCTTCAGATGGTCTGCGCTTCCTCACAGCATGATGTCCTCAGGATAGTTAGACTTCTTACCTGGTGCCTCAGGGCTCCAAAGATGATCATCTCCACTAACAAGGTTGGGACCTAGCATCAATTCTATTAGTTGTTGTTGTTGAGTGTCATCAAGTCAGTTCTGACTCATAGCAACCCTGTATAAGGTTTCTCAGGAGCAGCTGGTGAGTTTGAACCACCAACCTTGTGGTTCAAATAGACCTTATGGTTGAGTGTTTACCCTACAGTGCCACAGA